CCCCAAAACCCCAAAACCCCAAAACCCCATTTTTCTATTATAAAACAATTGAAAAGGTAAATGATTATTAATGAGTTAACTCATGAGAAATCAAATTTATTTGCGAAATCATTGAACTGATCCTAGCTAGCACTTCCGTGGTTTACTGATTAATCTGCGTCGAATGTGTCGAAATCGAATCTATTTCCGAATCCTCCTCCATTTGCTGCTAAAGTGTTTGAAGTAGTCACTGCGTTTGTTGCAGCTGGTTAATTATATCCTCCATAGCTGCTTTAATCATATCCTGCATTATTATCGTAATAGGTATTTGAGTTATCATAAGTTTACCCACCTGAGTAATCATTATATTGATAGTTGTTGTTATTAGCATAGGTGTTACTATTAGTACGCTTATATTCTTCATTATAGTCATAGTTATTTGAACCACCATGATAATCATTAGCTACTCCATTTGCAACAGTCGTACTATTATTATACCCATAGTTATTAGTTCCATAAGAATCTTTTCTAGCATATGAATCAGGAGCATAGTTATTTGTTGCATAGGTGTTGCTGCCTTGATTGTAATTAGTGCTGACATTGGTTGTAGTGGCAGCAAGTCCTGCTAATCTTTCTTGCATTACATTATCTTATTGTTTTCTTACCTAGCTTACTTCTTGCTATTTAGATTCAAGATTGACCTTTAGTTCAGTGTTCCTATTTCTCTCTTACATCAGTAATTATCTTTGAATCTCTAAGTTTCTCTGAATAGACTGATACTCTCTATCTAATTCATCAAGTTGCTAGATGATTTTCATATTTTCATTTTGAATTTCATGATACTATGCTTGATCTTGACTGTAAATAGTCTTCATAAAATTAATTTCTTCTTTTCGTACTTGAACTTTAGATGGATCTAGTTTTAAAGGAGGGGGGAGATTAGCTCTAGGAGAAGGCTATTGTGATTTTGAATGCATATTTATACCAAATGACTACTATTAAACCTACTGAATATTTTGAATTTGATTTGGATTAATCCTTAGAGGTGACTTATCTGGCGATGCTTGATTCATTGACATTCTTTCCTATCCAGAACCATTTAACCCTACACCAGCATTATTTTATGGCTAAATTTGCTGTTGAAAGTTCAAATCTAATCCTAATGGTTATTGTTGATTCTGCAAATTGATTGGCTTGCTTTGCTACATCATACTATCTCCTAAGTTAATAAGGTTTTAGCTAGGGTTATTTTAGGTCTAATTGATTTACTATTATTATGGCTATTACTGTTGTGGCATTTATTATTAATTCATTTATTACATCATTTGAGGTGGCATTTATTGCTATTAAAGTGGTGGCTATTATCTTTACTACATTTGCATTGGATTCATCTAACCTTGCATTCTCATTTACATTTGCTTGAAGTAATTTTCTGGATCAACTGATATTTGACTTTCCTCAGGGAGCATTGGCGGTAATTCAGTTCCTTACTTTTTCTTGTAGAGGAAATGGATAGCAAGAATGAATAATTTTTAATCGAATTTATCTATATTACGTGGATTTACCAAATTCCAGACTATATCTTGTGATTATTAATCAAGCTCTGTCTTTTAAAACAGTCCTTTGACTAATTCTCCTGCCAAAATACCTTGTCGCTCTTTATCAAACTGATTAAAGATTTAAACATATCTTTATTGCTCTTCTTACTATATAAACCAAGGTGATTGCTTAGCTCTTTCAAACATCTATTTCTACATCATTTATTGTTACTTCATCATTTATTACTAAGCTTATTCAGCTTATTTTTACTGTTATGCTTGATTTACAGAAGGGATCAATGATTAGATATTATTTAGAGAACCAATATCAAGTGAATCAAGATCTGGTAAATTTGCTGCTATATCTTCAGCCCTAATTTCAGGCTTTTCTCTCTACTCAATTGGGGGTAGGGCTAATGGAGCCGGCTCAAATTTGGGCAAATCAACATCAATATTAAATTTCAAAGATTCTTCGCTGGGTTGAATTCCATGCTAAGCATAAGCAATCAATCTAAGTGCTACGTAAAACTCATCTCTAGTCAAAAATGCAGGACTAGTCCTTGCTGAGATCAACCAAAAATTCTTGAGCAAATCAACTGGCAATCCTGACCTTTTGAAAAACGCGACTCCTTCTTATCCTCCTACTTTATTAGTTCCATTTGGATCGGCCTACATAAGCAAATTAGAGTAATATCCCTTTTCTTTGTTTGATAATTGAATTTTTAGAGGAGGCTTCTTGTTTTCTTATTGTGGAGGTGGCTATTATCCCTGCATCCCAGGGCCTTAGGTTTAAAAATTCGGTCCAACTTATTATTATGGACCTCCACCCATTGGTCCAGCCATTCCTCCCATCATATTTTGTCCAGCAAGTTATGTTTAGAAATTCTATTAGCCAGGATTTCCTATCTGCATTCCAGGATTCATCTGAGGGCCCCCAACAGCTAGATTTCCTTGATTCATCATTTGTTATTGCATCATTTACTACTATTACGGGTTCATTACTCTTCTTATTATGTTTTGATAATTTATAAATTTATAACTTTTGAATTTCAAATGCAAGGGAAAAAGTTTAAATTTTTTCACATGGGGTTTTGGGGTTTTGGGGTTTTGGGG